TCAAACTGAAAATGCTGTACGGAAGACGAGCTCTTTTAAGTGTCCAGGTTGATGTTTTGTCACTCGTCCGGACGACTACCACCAACTCCGGCCTCGGATCTAGGTTTCATATCTCCAATCGAGCACTGATACTAGCAGAGCGTCCCGTGGGAAGCTTTGCCCGTAGAGAAATCTGTCTTCATTCTTAGAATGAGGTTTAAATGGTCTCCCAGAAATTCAATGCCATCGCCGTCGGGAGACAAAAGTGTTGTTGCCTGCGAGTCCAGAAATGTTGGAGCGAACCCTAGGGCGATCGGTGTCCGCAGTGTGCATGCTTGCCTCGAAAACTTTCCTCTCCACGGTGTTGAGGAGGCTCTGCAACTCCCTCTGGGCTTGTTATGTTGTTTATAAGGCCCCAAGAAAGGGATCACATAGATAACACCAGCTTCAGATAGCTTTGGCGAATGCTTTCAGGGATTGATGATGTGTGCGGTGTTCAAAGACAGTTTCCTTCGTCTCGGGTATTGTGGATTTGTGGCTTTATACTTCGTTATCCGCACCCTTCGTCGATTGGATAATGTTGTCTGCTGAAATGTTGTCCCCTATCCATTCTCTGTGTTTATCATCGATATACATGCAATTCAAGATGCGAAAACCCTTCATTCCTGCACGTATTAGACCCTCATCATCTAAACTGGCAGCTGGTTTAATCCCAAAGAAATAAGTTCGTAGCCTTTTCATCCTATTGCATTTCCAGCGAGTTGATGTGTTGATCAGCTTTGAGTCACACGCAATCGCACCGCAATTCTGGCATGAGGCCCCTTTTGGACGTTGGAAATGATTTTCTAACGAAATTGTCATTTGTTCTTTCATTGCGGGCTCATCATCGATTCTCGGATGTTCCCTCGATCGCTCCTCGGGCTTTCTTCTAGATAATGTTTCTCTAGTATAATTTGATCAATCTGATGCCACCCTTCAGGAGAATCGTCCGATATAGAGTCGATGCTCATAGGCAGCTGATTCTGCTCTTGAGGACGCAGAAGCATGAGTCACGGCCTTATCCCCTTGTCGTAGTTGCCTGATAGTTAACGAGCGCTAAGAAATGACCAGACGTCGTTTGAGGTAAGTTCAGGATGGGCTACTGCTCAAAGAAGCTTTCTGAGGCCTCGAAGTTCTCAGTCGGTAGATCAGGTGTAACGCCAGTAGGAAGTTTTAGAATTCGGGACAGTGGCTGGTGAATGATTGAGCCGCTGTTGGCCATACACCTAACATGGGATCTGCCCTTTCCATCCGATATAACTTGAACGTATTTGTTTGTTCCCTGCAGCTGTGATTGATGGCTTCACATGCTGTTTGGCTCCGGTGCAGAGTCTTTCGAACGATTTTCGATCTGGTATGAACTGGCACGGACGGAAGCGCAGGGGTCTTTGTGTTGCTTCCCGCCGCTCCGAGTTGAAGCCTCACTTTCGGGGTGGCTGGCCGAAGAGACGAATAAGTACAGCCTAGTAGCCTTGAATGATATGGACAACACTAATCAGGCAAAATTGTTACCAAGCCAGCAAAAAGCTTCTGTAAAAGCCGAACGCAGAGTGATGGTCATGGTAATCTGACCATGATCTCAGTCGGTATTGCCGATGGCGTGAGTAACACTGTGGCCAGTCTTGAAGTCATGCTCCAAGCCGTCCATAAGCCACAATAGCTTCCCGCTTTGTGTATTCGCCGTGGGAGAGCTCTTCGCATTTGTTTCTATTTGCGTCGAGGAGAGGGACGTCTCTACTGTTGGTTGTGTTGTATCACTGAGGTACAGAACGGACGGAATATAAGGACTGAACGTTCTATGAGATAGTTTTGGTACTGTTGCTACTGTTTGCTGCTTTTGCACTAAGTACATGCCGCATTTGTTTTATCGTAGCACCAAAGTCCTTGAAGAATTTTAGCCGTGGTATTTACCGAAGTCAAGGTCGAAGACTTCACAAGTCTTGCAGGTGTAGAATCCAGATGTTTGACAAGATTGAAGACATGAACAGTCTGTGAGATCCTTAGTCGCTCTCAATGCTTCCTCGGATTCTCAGACTTCAATGGGTTTGTCTTGCTTCCTGAGCGCGAGGTTCAATGATTCCGCTCTGGCCAGGAAAGGTAGGGTCCTCATGGTGGACAGGCCACGGCACCATTTCCGGTCGCTGATCTCCCAGGAGGTGAGAGTATATGAAAGTGATAGAAAGGAGCTTGCAATCTGAATTCATACGGTAGAGTTGACCTCTGATGAGTGTTACGCCTACGTCGCCCGAGAAATTATGATTTGGGATTAAGAACTTAGAAGTTTCCAATCTCGAGCGTTCCGGAGCTTTTCATAGGTAGTGTGTTCTAGCCGTAGACATGTCCCATAGCTCAAGTTCAAGAGGCCCCGACGCGTGCTGAATGGATATCTGATAATGTTAGCCTTAGCCGCTCTACTTTATGAAGTTCGGGGAAGACGACGGAATTTGTGGGTTAGAAATATCGATTAATAAAGGGATATCAGGCTCCAGGGTTGATAGTCCGCTTCACGAACGTTCCCGGGTACTTACTGGCTGGTTCATCTTCTGATTATCAGCAAGTGGCTTCCGCAAATGCTCCAGGCCTCATATACCACAAGCCAAGGTTTCGAAAAGTTTTCATAAACCTTGGCAGTCTTGGAAGACGGACTCTCTGTTGTAATTGTATCTTTGAAGATGGTTCATGAGCTTGGAAAGGGTTTTCCAAGCGCCAATACTTGAGATTTAGTGACCGCATACCCATGAATTGATTCGTACCGCTGGCGTGCGTTTGTGACTACATGAAACGTTGCAAATTCCAGTGGCACGTTGCCCAATGCGAAGACTTGCATCTACTTTCAATCTCCACCGACACTAGTTCAACGGCAATGCCCAGTTGTTTGATTCCAGCTCTGTCCATCAACTCGTTGCCATCCACCGAAGACTGGCGCTAACCTTGCTGAGAGTGTTGAGGACGTCGCGTAATCCACCTATGGCGGCCTGCGTACTGCGAGACATGTCCGAGTTGATTCCGAAGTAAAGCTCCAGTAGCTATACCACTGGAACTTTCCTTTCTCGTTGAACTCACCTCTGAATATCTTGCGGCGAGGAAAGGCACCAGGGAGGCCCCTATTAGGTGCAAAAACTAAGTGTCTTGATACAGGAATCGGGGCCGAAGTCTCGAAGAGTGCAAAGTCCTGGATGGGCGGAGGGCCGTGAATCGTGAATTTCCGGCTTAGAACATAGAACGACCGTGAGTGTCATTCGGATGACAGGTAACGGAGACGATTTTCTTCTTACAAGCCTTACCCGAGCGGCGACCTCAGCGAGATGAAGCGTGTGGGAGGGCAACATGGGCCTTGGTCTTTATCATGGCTTCTGGAAGAGAAGCCTGGTCATGCGTAGGCAAATATTAAGAAATAATCCTTGCGCTGGGATTAGGCTGGTCTTACCGTCCTTCTCTGAGTCACGGAATGCTGTCGCTGAAGAGACTGTTGGGCTACTGTTCTAGAATGGTGCCGAGGATGCGGGTGACCACATTGAATCGAGGGGACAGCTTTCTATGACTTGTATCGCCGATGATCTCAATCAACCGACCAGTCGGATTGCTGTGTTAATAATACACATCATTTAACACCAATTTTGAAGCCAACCCTTGCACAAGGACCGGCGCAGTGCGGCTGCGAGGAAAGACACGATTCATAGAAATAGCTACAGAGCAATGAGCCGACGATTCTTACGAATGTGTGCAGTTTCTTTGCGACGCTTTGATGAGGTCGAGATTATGGTTGTGAAAATTACCAGCTCGCGACATGGGGGATAAGGAGGGCCGGTGGTATTCAGCGCTGATTCCGGGCTTCGGACTTGGGCGACCGGGGTGGGCCCACCAAGCTCCGCCCCGCTCCATGGCTGCGACGAGATCGCCCGCATTGCCTTCTGCAGCAGGCGTTTTCTCCGAACTACCTAAAAGGCTGCAAACCGGGCTGATAGCCCAGAGTAAGTTGTCTAAAGCATATTCAACCAGTACTGTCTGGATCTACCTGAGCTTTGTCGCACCACTTGGCTTGCAGACCGGTAAAAGACCCGCGACCGCGAATCCACCATCACATACGTCTTGACATGGCAGAAAGACGGAGGTAGGCACACGGAAGCGTAATGCATTGGGTGCACGAGATCCGGCTGACTATTTCGAAGTACAAGGTGCACTCATATTTTGAAAATTCAGGACCTCGAACGTGCAGGTTGTCGTGGCGACATCCCTCTCACGCCTCCAACACCCAGCCTACTCCGGAGTTCCGTGGCCAAAGTGGGACCCTCTTCTCCGGGATCCAACGTAAGACGACACAGACTTTTCCCGGAAGCGGTCTGCAAGCCGGTGTTATCCCGATGCACAGACCATCTCATGCTGACTCAGAATAGAGCCAATCTAACCAATCATGTATGCCCGCGAGGGGGTCTGGCCGCGGAACAATATCTCGCCGAGCCGAAATTGCCCAGCCACCCAGCCACGCGTGAGGCGGTCCGTCCCAACTTTCTCCGCTCCATCACGTATTCACGTGGTGTCGCTTCGTACCATCATCTCCATCTTAAACCCCATCCACACCAGCGTCATTTCAATCCCCGCCCTCGTCTCTCGTGCCGGCGCTTTCATTGAGCAGACCTGTTCCAGCTGTCCCAACCATTCGACTGCCCCCGGCTGCTTGCTTGACTCTTTGTCCGAGTAGGACCGGAATCCCGACGGAACCCATCCACCCCGTGAACTTCGCAGCTTCACGCCTGGATCTTGTCAACCGTCGCTCCGGTCATTCTACTGCTTGCGCAAGAGCCCCCAATGTGCCCTGGGCAGGGTCGGCGTCACGCTGGAACCCTCTGCTCCTGAAAACCCTGCGAAGGACTTGCGGCGAAAGGGAGAGAGGCCTATGACATGACCACGGTAAGTATTCACCCAGCTGGTTCCTGTCCGCTACGTTGTGCACATATAGCAGATTGAATCCAAGCGATTACGAGATGTCGTCCGCCGAAGACGCACGATCTGTCCACACTGTCTTTGCGGTGCGTGAAGACCAAGACGGAGGACAGCCCGAATTCATTGACCAGCCCTTCAAACTCAACGCCGTGTATCAGTCGTCAGCTTCAGCCCTCTTCCGTCTCAGTACATCCATCACCGACAGTGCCTCCATCAAAACCACCATTTATCTGCAAATCACACCCGACCGTATCGCTTCGCTGCAAAACACGACTTGCGACACGAGCGACGCAAATGACCGAAGCCCATCACACCTCGAACGCGTCCGCCAGCGACTGGGCGGCAAGCGCCTGTTGACTCGCCTCCAGTTCCACCTGCACAGCGGCCTCTATGCCCAGCTCATCGTGCCGACCGGTTTCGCACGCGACGAGGCCTCCGACAGCCCCGCGTGGCATGCCTTTCGCTCCACTGCCTCGCTCGCGACGGTTCCGACGTTCTCCATCTACATGCCGCACAATGTCTTGCCGATGATGAAGTTTGAGACATTTGTCCAGGCTGTGCGGCAGTTTGCGAATCTGACGGCAACCCAGCGTCAGTCATACGAGCGTATGGTGGATCTGCGCAGGCTGTACAGTGGCAAAGGTGGCGTTGTGTTCACACCAGAGGAGGACCAAAATGCTGTCCCTCTGAGAGATGGTGAACGCAACAGATCTGCGACACCCTCGACCGAATCGTGTGCTTCCACAGTTCCCTTCGATACTGTTCCGCGTCACCAAGATTCACCTCCGCAGTATGACGAATGCGTGGTTGAGGGACCGCAGCCGAGGGCCAGCATGACCGCTGCCGCGGCAGCTGCCTTCGTCAAAAGTGCCCGCGATGACGACGCTCTGCCTGAGTACGGCGGCAGCGAAAGGCAGCACCGAAGGCTGCAGACTTCTAAACGAGTGCTACACTGCGGGAGCGAAGAGATCGACTTGCACCCATCTTCGAAAAGGGCGCATTTCCAGCGTTCATTCGCCAGCGTTCACGCAACTACAGCAATCGCCCAACGTCCCGAAGAAAGGTCGGAATCTCAATTCGCAGATGCGGAATGTGTCCAGGGCAGGTTGGCGGTTCTACTCGAACAGCAACGTCAGCAAATCCAACGGCTGCAAGAGGATGTCGAAGAACTTCGGAGGCGGAACAAGGAGCTTGAGGGACGGCACGATGAGGTAGAGGACAACTGCGGTGATCTTGAGAACCGTCAAACCGAGACCGAGGAGACTGTCGAGTCTCTCCTCATTCACACCGGCGAGCTCGACGAAGAATGCGAGAAGCTCGGGAAGCAGATGCCAGACCTGTGTGACGAGATGGAGGACTGGGTGAAGGATAACTTGGGTGACGCGATGAAAGAGCATATGAGTAAATGGCTTGAAGAGAACATGGCGGAAACTATAAATGGATATATTAATGAGAAAGTTGCGGCCCAAATAGCTCAAATGAAAGCGAAGATGCGCAAAGCCCTGTCAAATTAGGGACTGTTGCCATTACTTGGATACCCATACAACACTTGTCCTGCATGCCCTGGGGACGGGAGAGATGCCGTGGCAAAGGAGAACAAAATCAAATGGTCTGCACTCGACTGTCGTCGAATCTCATATGTTGCCAGTGATCATTCTACAAGCCATTGACCATGCAAATTCCTCCATGGGTCAAGCATCCAAGCTCAACTTCAACCCATCTAGTTCCTTCTTGCTCACAGTCAGATGGTCAAGCTGAGCCTGCAAGTATCTCACAGCGTGCTCCAAGCGTGGCAGGGCGTTCAAGACCCTCTGTTTTGCCCGCCGAAGGTGCCTTCTTTCTGCGCGGCCCTGGCCATGCATCCATCCGCCACCGTCGTCTTCTTGACGACTTTCACGATCCCACTGCTCCAAGAGCCTCTTCTGTTCGTCTTCCGTAAGCTTTGTGAATGCCTTTTCCAGTATCTCGAGAACTTGCTGAGCCTCTGGCGTGAGTCTTCTCACTTTGGCTTGGTGCTCCTCAACTGCGGCTTTGAATTGATTTTGTTTCTCAGTCCAAAGAGCATTGAGTTCATCGATAGTGAAGCTGCCACTGCTGAACTCGAGATGGATCTTGAAGCTTTCTCTGGAATACGGGATCCCGGGCAAGAGGCTTGGAACGGCTGTCGAGTCACCGAGTGCCCTGAAACAATTCCTCCACACGTTTGTGTTGACTTCGGTAGGCGGATTAAGGTCGGCCATGACATGGACAGCGTTCACTAACAGGCATATGCCGCAGTCGTATCCATTTATCTGCTGGTAGCACGGGCGAGGAGTGATGCGGTAATCCTCGAAGTAGAGGTTTTGCAGCGCATAAAGTAGGTGGTGTACTTCATCGTTGTCCCCGGCGAGGGAGTCGTAGACTTGGATCTCCTTCTCATTCTTCAAAACGCAGCATAGAACCCAATGGTGGCTGTCCGGAAGGTGGAGAGGGACGAGAATCTTGGTTGTCTCGCTCCTTGCGATGGCCACTTGCACGCTTGCATATCTCGTCGTGCTGCCAGCCTTGAAAAGGTGAGGGTTGATGATGGAGCAACCTAAGCCCGTGGTGCTAGAGAACACATCCAAACAGGTTGTGATGACACCATCGTCCAACTCCGCTCCAGGGGCGAGTCTCGCATGGAAGTTCTGGGGGATTTCGAAGTTGACACTTTCCAATGCATCATCCAACCCCCTTTCCGCAACATCCGGTCGCTCGTCTCCGGTATTTGACGATAAAACTGACCTTTTCCTTAGTATGATGGAAGGCTTCGCCCCGGTCGAGTCGGGGGTTGGGAGACCCGTCACGGCTGTTGTCTTTGGTGGCAGAGACGGCGTAAAGGGACTTTTCAAGCCTCGCGACGTCTCGTTGCTTGTTCTCGCTTTCTTTGACGGGGTAGAGTCGGAACCCCTTACTGGGAGATCATGTGTGGATGAGCTCCCTCGCCCAACGTCGGAGACCTGGTCCTCGGGTAGCCTCTTGCGAGTTTGCCCTCTGGACGAAGTTGGGTCAGTGACATTATTCTCGAGTTGAAGTTTGATGTCATGTTCCAATTCTGTAACGTCATGGGGCCCTGCTGTTCCATCGTCGTCCTTGGTGAGATTTCCTGCCGTGCGCCTTGTCGGGACAGGAGCAGCAGGTTTTGATGCGGTGGAGCTTGCACCTTCCCTAGACAGCCGTCTCTCAACTCGCAATGAAGCTTTTGCGATAGAAGTAAGTTTCCCGGTGGCCTTAACTTCTTCAACGGCATTGTCTGACGATGGTTCCGATTCGTCTGGCGAATTTCGTCGCTGCGACGCAGTCTCTCGTCGTGGATTACTCCCGCTGGTGTCTGGCGTTGGCGTTGGACTGGATATCTCCTCGCTTGAGACTGACTCGTGGGTGGCTCTGTTGTCCCGTGACAGTTGCAAACGGCCATCTGCAGGAGACTTGCTATCTTGGCGTCGTTCTGATTGATCTTCCGAAAGATGCCGATCCTTGGCCTGGTTCTTGAGATGTTCCAACGCCCTCTTGACTTCCCACGGCTTCCACATCACACTTCGATTGGAACCGCGTACTCCAACCTGCCGTTCCCCTTGGTAGCGCCGTAAAATCGGGAAAGCCTGCTCCGGGGTGGACTGGCGAACCAGCTTGGCTAGCTCTTCCCAAAATGCACGGCTGTCGACATCCGGAAAGGTTTCGACCAAGTCATCCTCGCTCCAATTCCACTCTCGCAGGATCAATGCCTTCTTCGACCGAATCCGCCGTCCTTGCTCCCTGATATAATGAAGGCTCTCTTGGTCGTCACGGGAGAGTCTGTCAAGCAAGGAATCTACGGATGCGAATCGAGCAAACCTGCTACATATCGCCTCCCATTTGGCTACAACATCTTCTCCTGCTGCGAGATGGTCGCGAAGAATTATGCGAAAGTTTTCAAGCTCGTTTTCCAAATTTTTCTCTTCGTTATCAACCTCAAGGGAGTCTTGAATCACAAAGGTATCCGTTAGCGCTTTGCCGCTCATGACGCACATCTAGTATGAAGATGACCCGCATGAAGCATACCTGTCTCTTGAGTTTTCCGCAAATTATCGGTGCCGTTCTGCCCAGGCCGTGTTTGGATGTTCGGTCGAATGGCACGTAGTTTCGGCGCCGTCGGTGCCTTTTTCGAACTTCGCGTTTGAGGCATCTTGAGAGGCTGCGTGGTGAATGAATGATGGGCGGGGTTGATGAACCAGAGTCGCAGTCGTTTGAGTTTCAGCGAATAAATCCTTCTTGATTATGGGATGAAACAAGCGAATCCCGTTGGGAGAGCCTCTGTGAAGCCCTCGGCAAAGATGATGACTGAAAGTCAAACCTTAGCTGTGAAGGTTGGTGTGAATGGTCTGAGATTGGAAGGATGCACGGACTGTCCTCAGCTGGTGATGACGAGCACCGTTCCGGCTCTTGCATCACGTGAGTCTGGTGTGCTAGTCTGGTGTGCTACCTTGGTGAGCAGCTTTCTTTCATGTGCCACAGCTATCTGGTCCACGTCGGAGCCGAAGCGTCTTTAGCTCAGATGAAACTTTCGACGGGCCAGAGTACCATGATTGGGCGGACACTTGGGAAAATGAGAAGCGAAATGAGATGATGAGGCCTTAGGTACTAGAATACTGTCGCATACTGGTCGGAGGTGGTGTTGGTGGATGTGTCCAGATCGACGGTTTCTAGGAATTGGCCTTGACGGCGAGCCAATGCGGGACCAAAGATTGACGCAGTGTTCTTCGCTGCACAGCTTTCGCGAACCACCTACCAATCGGACATTGTGCAGACCATCGTGTCAACGTGCTGGTCTGGTCTAGGTACTTACCGAGACACCTCTCTGGTTAAGGTAGGTAAGGTAAATAGGCATCATGAGATTCCTCCCGATATCAGCGCCAAAATCGGGAGGGATCTATTGCACATCGCTGTATCTACAGAAGGTACCTCCCGATTTTAGCGCTGAAATCGGGAGGTACCCACTAACCGCACAGGGGTGGCCCATGCACATGCACCTGGCCATCCGGGAAAAAGCTGCCGTCTCCGCCCTTCCCCAACTTCCCGTCCTCAACCTCTCCCCGAGAAGCAGCTGTCAAGGTCTCCGACATCAAGGTGTGCGACATCAAGGTCTCCAGAACCACAGCCATTCATTCACATAGTGGTCTGGTCCACTGATACCAGTGATGTGACTGGCCAGCCTTAGGATACCGCTGGTATCGTAAGGGCAGTCCAATCACCTTAGGATACCGTCGGTATCGTAAGGGCAGGCCAATCAGAGAGACGATTCACCCTTAGGATACCGCCGGTATTATAAGAGCAGGCCAGTCAAAGGGTAGTGCACCAGCGGAAAGTGCAAGCCTGGAACCGAAACGTCGACATGATGGAAGCGGACTGGCCACCAGAAGCACAACCCTTGGCGGTCTCTGCAGGCAGCCGCACGGGAATGATGCGCGGTAGGCACCCTGTTCTACTCTGTCGGTTGCCGCGGCGGTCATCCATCGTCTCCATTTCCTTTGAGCGAGACCGAGGGCCTTAGGGGTCGTCACCTCTGGGATTCCCAACATGGCGCAAGATATGGTGCAGGCCTGCGTCAATGCACCAGACGATGCGCTGGATGCCAAACCGCCATGTTGCTGCTCAACGCCAGCGTGACCGCTGCGGCTCCCACATAATGTCTCCCAGTCAGGCAGAGAAGCAACGGGCCAGTGTCGTTGCTTTTCTTAGGCTCCGTGATGCCTGTCTCGTCACATCCCCAGGACACAGTATGCCTCCGGATATAGTGAGCCGGGTAGTAGTATTCAAGCACATACGACCATACCCACTGGAGAACTCGGGATCCCGTCCGCTCTCCCATAGATAAGCCAGTGAGGGCTGGAGTAGTAGTCGGGTCGGTGACGACCGGCGAATGCCCGGTGTTGTATGTCTTTTTGCGCTTTTTGGGAAGCTGTGATGAATGTTCTTCACGTTTGCTGGAGATCTCCCACAACCTTGTCGTCACCACCCAGAGCCATTGCGTCATGGACCTGGGGTCCTTTGAAATGGCTCGTCGCGTTTGATGACATTTGTCACCAATCTGGTACTTCCGGACTTTCAGGCTACCTCATTCAATGGCGTCTTGGATTTGTACTGCCCCCGTTTTCTACCGACGTCGATACCACACGCGACAACATTGACGCAGATGTCGCAGTGCGGCCAGGTAGGTCATCCAGTCAGCCACTGCGATGCGACTCCCTTGTCACTTGCGTTGCTGCCCGGCAGGTGTCCAGCCAAGCCACGATGTGCTGCGCTATCTCGATGCAGGCTGGAATATTGCACAGCGGACACTTCAAAAATGTTGTCGATGCATCCCGTCGGGCAAGGCGTGTGAGGATGGATTAATCTAGTGGGACGACGATCTTCAGTGGTCTGCTCAAGTGCACCGTATGTGCGACTCACACTGGGCGACCCGCCTGGTCACCTCGGTGAGGTGTGTGGAGGGATCCACTTTCGTCGCTGGCAAAGAGGTGGAGCCTTTTCGGTGAGGCCATCCAGCCAGACAAGCTTGCTCCAGGGCCAGCCAACCTCATCGGATCAATCATCTCACCTGCCATCCACGGCACCGCTTGACAAAAGTCAGAAAGCATTTACGAACGCATACCTTCCTGCTGCATTTGGAAGCCTTAAAAAAACCATCGCAGGAACCACACACTCCCCTGCCGACGTGGCTTGCAGAAGGCGTCAGCTCCCGATTTGGTTGGGGCTCCACACCTCGAGGCCGTGGTACGAACAACTGCAGAATGTCGACCGAATCATTGGCTAATTCACCACGCCAGGCTCGGAACATGCTCGCAAATTATTCCCGGCACGAAACATCACGAACAGACACCTGATTTCAGGAAGCACCATCACAGCCCATAACACAGCGAGCAGTGGTCTGCGGCCAATCATCATTACTTCTTACGCCAGCGAGAGCGGCTGCCAAGTCACACAGATGATTTCCTCCGCAAGCTTTCGTTCTGCCTACGCCCCGCATCCCGTCGTTCTCCCACCCACATCTCCTTCGGATCTCTTGCGGGCCCCCCGCCACCATCATTGTCAGCGCGCAGCATTCCATCCAACTCGTTCAATCCTGTCGCCCTCTCTGACTTGATTCCCTAGTTGCCCGACTTGCCGTCCGCACGAGACAGGAGGTTGGCGTCCTGCGCACTCCACTCGGTTGCCTACGTCGGCAGGTCTGCCCCGGCCACCAGTCGACCTTGGTGCCCGCGTCTTCGACATCTCTCGAATCAAGCCCGCATGCCCTAGGGAGCGATCCGAGCCTAGCTCTGACGTCGGAAAATAGAACAACAACAACAACAACAACAACAAAGAATCAAGCCCGCGCGAGACAGCATTGAAGACGCGCATCGACGTGTCGGCCCCCCGGCCTCTATGGACCCGGTGGTGTGAGGACGAATTGCTTGTGTATTCCGACCGACCGACCGAATCGTGCCCGGATCGCTCGGCAGCCAAACAAACTCGATCAAGGGTCTGGGCACCTTCACCTCCTATTGCATCCAGGGAAAGACTACCACGATCATTGCCGAATGCAGGACCACGATCATGGCCTCCCGTTGGAATTTAGGAGCCTGCGAGTTTTCATCACCCATCGCAGCCTGCCGCGGCGACGATGCGACAGGGAGCTAATGGGAAGTCGAGGTCTTTGTCAGTGATTGGGAGGAATCTGGCGTGATGGAGACTTGCCGTGTGATCGTGAATGAACGTCGACACGAACTGTCGACGTGCAAACTCGGGATACAGCGCGTACATGTTCAACACCGTCACGGAATGTGCTTGCAAATGCAGAAGACCGACCTCCGCTTGGAGACGGACTCAGCAACCATGTGGTCAAGCCTGGCGCGGATCGAACAACTCGCTTTGAATGGCGTCGAGGTCGAGGCTGCCGATGGGCCTAATCCTGCTCAGAGCTTTAGGGAGATTGGCAGGAAGTGAAGGCGACCTCCGAACGAGAGCTGATTGGACAGGGTCCTGGACTCCTGGTCGGGTTTCTTTGCGTGTCTGTTCAAGACAGGTAAGCGACAATGTTTTCCAAGG